CGCTCTGCCGTGGCTGAACTGCAGCCTGCTCTTGTAGGCGGGCAGAGGAGCTGCCAGAGAGGAGGGCGCAGGTGGGGCCAGCCCCTCAAGGCGTGATCTGCCTCCAGCTAAGATACCCTCCATCACTCTCTCACACATGTGTTCTGTGTTCCTCTAGCACTTGTCATCATAAGAAATGTCCTTGTTCCCCTGTTTATTTGTTTCCAGCCTGCCACCCCCGTGGACCCAAGGTCAGCTCCTTGAGGTCAGGGGCTTTGATTTTTGTTCACTAGTGAATCCCCAGTGCTTTGAGCAGCACTTGGCACAGAGTAGTGTTCAGTTACCCCCCTAATTTGGAGAAAAGATGACTAAGCAATTAGGTTTTGTTTTTCTTTTTCTAACTGATGGAGAGTAGAAACAGCTGCTGGTGGGAAGCAAGGGACTGAATGTTTGTGGGTGTCATTGCCCTTCATAGATAAGCTGCAAGGGTCCATATGGAAGGAGCATGACCCCACTCTAAAGGGTGCTCCTCCGTGGGAACTTGAAACACCCCTTACTAGGAGAATAAACCCCGTTACAGCACTTTAAAGAATCTCCAATGAGGGAACAAGTTCAGGCGAGAGTGATGAAGGTGACTTACCCAAGGTCACATAGCTGGTAATCGGCAGACCTGAGATTTGAGCCGACTTCTATTGCCCTCCAAGGGGGTTCAGTCTTAACCCCTAGTCTTCACAATCTAACAGCCCTCTTCTGGGTCTCATCTCCCTTCCAGCACACAGTGTAGCTGGCTCACCCCATGCCATCTTATAGCCCCAAATGCCTCTTGCCAAGGCAGTTCCCAACTTTGAGGCAGAAGGAGTCAGACAGAAGTCATCTAGAAAGGACCGGCTCTGCTGTGCCCCTATGCTCGCCTGAGGAGTCTTGCCCACAAAAGCATCAGGGGCATAGGGGAGGAGCCCTTGACACCGTCTTACCCTAGGAAGGTCAGTATGTGAATGGTCACTGTGATGTGGGTACATATATCTTTAGTCTTGCAATTTTTTTTAAACGTTTGTTTATTTTTGAGAGACAGAGAGAAAGCACGAGTGGGGGAGGATCAGAGAGAGAGGGAGACACAGAACCTGAGGCAGGCTCCGGGCTCTGAGCTGTCAGCACAGAGCCCAACTCGGGGCTCAAACTCACGGACCGTGAGATCATGACCTGAGCCCAAGTCGGACGCTTAACTGGCTGAGCCACCCAGGTGCCCCTAGTCTTGCAATTTCTTGTTTTTCAGCCACCTGGCAAGGTCCCTCCCTCTGCCCTCCAGTGTGGATCGGCCCCGAATTGACTTGATCGTGTTTGTGGTCAACCTTCATAGCAAATACAGGTGAGAACCAGAGAATGGGTACCTTCAGGGCTCAGGTAGACCTGGGATGGTGACCTCACCTATGCGGGAAGGAGAAGACACAGGGAGAGGCTGCCTGGGGTTAGCCCAGAGGATGAGGATGGGGAGCCAGTGGCAAGTGTATGATATTTTAAAGACACTGATAGGGGCACCTGGGTGGCTCAGTCGGTTAAGCGTCCAACTCTTGATTTCAGCTCAGGTCATGATCTCGTGGTTCGTGAGTTCAAGCCCTGTATCGGCCTCTGTGCTGACGTCATGGAGCCTGCTTGAGATCCTCTCTCCCTCCCTCTCTGTCTCTCTCAAAAATAAATTTTAAAAATAAACATTAAAAAAAAAAAAAAAAGACTGGTAAACCCCCAACAGTGCCATCAGTCATTGAGCTAATGTTTTCTGTAGCCTTCTCTGTATCCCTGATGGCAGGCACAGACATGAATGAAATAGACCCCTGTCCCCAAGGTGTTCCCAGACACTGGGGGAGGAAGCTAGACTCTTGAACACAGAGCTGTAGTAGCTAGCATAGGTACTATAAAAGAAGGATGCATTGGGCTATGAAAACCCCAACAAGACCTGTGACTCTCAGGACATAGGGCAGGGTAGACTTTCTGCTGGAGATGACCAGGTTGAGGTACCGAGGTAAAACTGGGAGTGAGCAGAAGGTTCCAGGTGAAGGGTTAATGTAAAAGGTAAGAGGAGCATAATGTGTGCACAGGACTGTTAAGTCTGGTCCAGGGTCAGGAGCCCAATGTAGTAGCCACGGAAGCATGAGCGGGTGGTGATGCTTGGGGCCCAGCCTGGCCTCCCTGTGGTGCTGGCAACCTGGGGACAAGACTGCAGCCAACCTGGGGAGTACAGAAGAAGGTTCGCTCTCTCCCTTTGGGGGCGATGGCTGACTGAGGGGAGGCAGGACGCAGCAGCCAGCACAGAAACCAAGGCACATGCCTCGTCATGTGGTGTGTGTTAAGTGAAGGCTGTAGTGGAAACACCTGGAACCAGGGACAGATCGATACCAGCTACGGCCAGCAGCAGGATCAAGTCCAGACCCGCTGCCTGGCCAGCTGGAACAGACGAGCAGTGACTTGGGCCCACAGTGGGGCAGAGAAAGGGCTGAGATCTGCCATGATTGCCAGAGGTCCTGACTCGGCAGATCTGTTCTTTGGGTGAGACCCATCTGTCCACCGAAACTGACTGGGTCTTTGGGGAGATCCTGCTCTGTAGTCACACTGAGGGGCCGAGAGCCATCCTTACTGTTTGCCTTAGGCCTTGCTTGTTCAGGCTGAAACCTTGGCCTGGGTCACCTGACTAAGATGGCTTTTTGACCAGGAGATGACAGATTTCTTTATCATTCCTCGGACACCGGTGAATGAAACCCTTGGCCCAGAAGGTTAAAGGGCCCTTTTCCTGGAGGAAAAGAGTGTTTTCACATACTCGATGTAACTGTAAATACTCTAACCTTATTGGAAAGCAATATGGCAATACCTAGGTACATTTATTTACATATTTATTTGCCTACCTATTTATTAAGTTTATTTATTTTGAGAGAGAGCACGAGCAGGGGAGGGGCAGAGAGAGAGGGAGAGAGAGAGAATCCCAAGCAGGCTCCACACTGTCAGCACAGAGTCCGATGTGAAGCTCGAACCCATAAACTGCGAGATCATGACCTGAGCTGAAACCAAGAGTTGGACACTCGACTGACTGAGGCACCTGGCGCCCACCTAGGTACATTTTAAAAAGACACATAGCTGTGACGCAGCCATTCTACATCTAGCATCGGTGCCACAGAAACATTTGTCTGCATGTGTGAGAATATATATAAAGGAAAAATTCATATGCAAGAGGAATAACGCCCCAAACTGTCAGCAGCAGTTACCTCGGGGATGTTGAGACAGAAGGGTGGTGCCGGAGAGGAGACTTCCTTTTTACAGAATACCTCCATATTCACTATCGGATTGTTGTACAGGCTTGAGTCATTTTGTAATTAAAAATACTCCAACAAAATGAAAGATGAAGTATTCCTCTAGGGGTGTTTCCTCTTACCCTCCTCTCCTTTGGCCTCTCTGGGTTGAGGAGCCCTCCACCTTCTCTGTGGTAAGGTTTGTCCTGTGGTTCGTTTTCTCGCGCCAGCCTCCGGAACGTGGAGGAATCCCTGCACTATGTGGACGCCACCTTCTTCCTGGGGAAGGCAGCCTTCCTTGCCACCGGCGGTAAGTGCATCCTCCCCCACCCCCCACCGCGGGCGCTGTGTGGCCGGCACTGCGGTGGGGGACTTCTTACTGAGGCCACCCAAGGGACCAAAGAACGTGAGCTTTGGAATCTGACCTGTTGGCGGTGTCTCTGAAAGTGAATCTGAGCAGATCGTTCTGCTGAGATAATTGCTAAGAGTTGCCTGGCGGTTCCCTGTGGCTTGCAGAGTAAAAGCCACGGTCGGTCCTGTAAAGGCACAACTTTGGCCTTCCACCTTCCTGTCTAGTCTCGTCTCCTGTTCCCGGCCCCTTCTTTGGTTCAGCTTCTCCTTCTCTGAGCAAGGCCTGCCGTTCCTGAGAGCCTTTGTAACACTAACAGCGGAAATAGCAACAACTGACCTTTATTGAGCCCTCACTGCACACCAGACACTGTTCTAAAAGTGCTTCGTTTCTGGATCACATAATCTCCGCTACAAACAACCCTCTGAGGTACATACTGTTATCTTGGTTTTAGAGCTGAGGAAACTGGAGCCTTGAGGTGAACCAGCTTGTCCAAGGCCCACAACTAAAAAGTGGTAGAGCCCATATTCATACCTAGATGGTCCTATTCCAGAGCCCATGCCCTTCGTGATTCTATCATATAGCTTCTCCTGGATGCTTTTTTCTTCTTTGTCTAGCTAACCCCTATTTCCTGTCCCCTCGGATTCACCTCCCTGACCAGCCCTGCAGTCTGGGCCCCGAGGTGTCCATCCCACGCATGCTTCTGTCGTATAGACTCCCCACCCTTCCACCTACACCGATAGCGTGTCTGAGCTGCCCTCCTCCACCCAGCTGAACTGCCAAGTCCTTGGGGGGAGGGCCTGGCACAGATTATGCTCAATGAGCATTGATGAATAAATGAAAGCCGGGTCATTTCTATATATTAATTCACCGAATCTCTATAGTAACTCGGTGGAGTGGGGGCTGTTACCATCCTTCTCTTCTAGATGAGGAAACTCAGGTTTTTATAGAGCACTCTCTCAAAGCCCTTTCAGCTTTATTTTCTAATTTAATGGTCTTGGCTGCCCCGAAAAGAAGGTTGAACAGGACTGTCCCCTCACTGACTAGTAAGCAGCTGAGGCCCAGATAGAGGTAGTGAATGACTTCGCCCAGTGCTTCCTGGATGACTGCCACGAAGGTAGAGATTACAGCCTGTAGCACTCACGGCTTCTTTGCAGCTGGGCGAGAGAGTCACTGCAGTGTCCACCGAAACACGATCATGAAGCTGGCCCACACCTACCGAAGTCCTCTGTTCTTCTGTGACCTGGAGGTAAGGACAATAATCGAGGGGGTGCAGGGAAAGGGCAGTCAGCACAGTAGGTGTGTCGAGAGTGCTCTTGGAGAGTCAAGTGCCGAGTGAGGAGGTCCTGATGTGGAGACACAAGATCCTAATTTGGATCTTGGCTTCTCTGCTCACTGGCTGGACCTTGGGTAGGTCTGTCACCCTAAGCGTTGGGGCGCACAGATGTAAAGTAGGGTGACAGTATGCATTCAGCCTGAGTGCCTCTTTCATGCCAAGTGCAATCACTTGTTGCCTTCTCTTCTTTTGCTTCGTTTTCTCCCATAACTAAGTTTTATGTATGTCATGTGGGTCCTTGTTAATATCTCACTCTCCCGCTGGGCTGTAAGGGCGTGAGGCCAGGCGTCTTGTCTGTTTCATTAACCAGTGCCCCCTCATGTCCGTCCTCAGTCAGAATGCCCCTGTTCCCCTTACTCCCTTGGACCCCAGACCTTGTCTAGTCCCAGCCTGGGGCAGGACATTCAGCAGGGAAGGCGGGTGGGTGGGGGAGTAGAGGGTTGGAGGGACACATAGGGTGTCCGTTCTGTCCCAACTCACTTCTGTTGGTGTTTCTCATAAGGTGAGTCTAATTATAAGCGTCTCAGAGCAGATTTCTATTTTGCTGATATACTTCGCTCTCCAGCCTCGCTTTCTGGAACATGAATCCTGACGTTTTGCTAAAAGTGCTCAGCAGCTGTCCCCTCTGGGAGGCTTGCTGAGGGCTCCCGGGACCTGGGCCACCCCACCCACGTCGCAGGCCTGCTTGGTTTTAGAGTGTGTTTATTGGTTTTGAAGTTCATTTCCGCTGTGTTCTTGGTCCTGCACCTGTCCCCAAAGGTAAAGTGATATAATGCAGAGAGAACTGAGTCAGCACACTGTCCCTTACCACCACCCAGACCAGGGATTCTTATTCATGGGTCTGTGGACCCCTCTGGCCTGAGGGTAGAATTCAGGGGATCGGTGAACTTGTATAAGAGAAAAAAAAATACTTTTTTTTCCCATTAAACTCTAAGTGAAATTTGGCGGTGTGAATACAGGCAAGAGATGTCAGTCTTAGCAGTATTTGCCTGGGGCTGTTACCAGCAGAAAGGGCAGATATTTCCATCTCATAAGAGGATGGGGCAGATCTCCTTGTTCAATGAACCCATAAAGATGCGCATACCCCTTGGTCACAAATTCATTTTTCATGCTTGACGACTATTTTAGTCAGCACTCTGACCTCACAGGACGCTGAGGCCTGGGGCACACGCGAAGTGCCCACCCTTCCAGACTTTCCCCACAACATACCCCAGAAACCCAAGACTTGGAGAGGAGAGGCAACTCGCTCAGTCATACAGCTAGTAAGTTAAACGGTAGAGCCAGCAGGTTTGCACGCTGCTGTCTCTTTTCCTTCTTAGGCTGCTAACTGTGGCTTTGAAAGTCACTTCCCCCACGCAGCCTTCGTCTTCCTGTCTCTAAAGGGGAATCATCATCTTTGCCCCACAGCTTAGGTACCTTAAACCTTAGGTGGTTCTGGCTGAGAGGCCCCCCAGCCTGGCGCCGTGTGGTGTAGTTCTCTTTGTGGTCAGTAGGTGGCAGGCCGTACCAGGTATGAGGAGCCTGACCGCTCTCAAGGAAAAGGCCTGCGTCCGCCCGTCTAGTTCCAGCCGTAGCAGCTGGCCTGCTGGCAACGCAAACCTGGCATTCCCTCACATGAAGCGCCCGGTGGTTGGACAGCCCTCACTCCTCATACCTGTGCTGTCCTTTTTATTTATTTATTTATTTGTATTTAGTTAATTTTTTTGAGAGAGAGAAGGGGTGGGTACAAGTGAGCGAGGGGTGGAGAGAGAGAGAATCCCACGAGGGGCAGAGAGAGAGAAACGGGGCTCACCCGAAGTAGGGCTCGAGCTCACCCGCGGGGAGGGGGAGAGGTTCGAACTCATGAACCGTGAGATCATGACCTGAGCCCAAATCCGATGCTTAACTGACTGAGCCACCCAGGCGCCCCCTGTGGTGTCCTTTTTAGGGCACAGTCCTCCACATATCTGAGTTTGAGCTTCGCCATGTTTTAAGGTCTTGGCACGGTAGGAATTGTCAGCCCCCTTTTACATGTGAAGAAACACATTCACGGAGCTGTGGGATTGGCCCAGTGAATTTATCTCCTAGCTCTGCTCTCCTAGCTCTGCTCTCCTAGCTCTGCCAGTGGGGCCCCGCGCTGCTCCCTGAGCACACGAATGAGTCAGGCATGGAGCCTGCCGTCTCAGAACCCGGTGAGGCAGAGACTTCCACCCCCGGCGGCTAGACCCAGCAGTCATGGTGTAGACGTGAAGGACGTGCAGAGACCTGGTGGCCTGGCATGGGAAGAAGCCGTTCCTTCCTGTAGGTGACAGGAGCCATCTGATGTAGTCAGGCTTGGGTTTGGGGGCCGCACCTCTGGAGTGTCGTGTGTGGATTGGAGGAGGCTTGGCCAGAGCTGAGGCTTGGGGTCGAGGCTGCTGCAGGAGGCCAGCCGGGGAGCCTGAGTGAGAGCGGCAGCAGCAGCTGGGAGGCCTCTTTCTGAGACGAAGGCCACGGAAGTCAGAGTAAGGATTTAGTCAACAGATATTTTTAGGTACTTACAGTGTGCCAAGCACTGTTCTGGGCCCAAGGGATGCATAGAGCAAAACAGTAAAAAAGGGGGAAAAAAAAATCTCAGCTCTGTCGTAGCAGAGGAAACATGTAAAGAAGTAAAATGCGTGGGGCGCCTGGGTGGCTCAGTCATTTAAGCATCCGACTCTTGGTTTCGGCTCAGGTCATGATCTCACGGTTCATGAGTTTGAGCCCCACGTCGGACTCTGCACTGAGCACGGAGACTGTTTGGGATTTTCTCTCTCCCTCTCTCTCTGCTCCTCCCCCAGTCATGCTGTCTCTGTCTCTCTCAAATAAATAAACTTTAAAAAAAGGACAAAAAAAAAAAAGTAAAACGCGTTAGAAAATGAGGATGTGACGGTCAAGAGGCGGTAAAGCAGTAAGGTTTAGTGTCAGTGGCCGGGGGTGACTGTTAAAGAGATCTGTGGAGGCGGTAGGGAGGCAAGCCGTGGAGACTCCTGGTGGAGGAGCACATGGGGCCAGAGGAGTGTGGAGACTTGCCTGGTGGGTCCAGGGTCCCCCAGGGAGGGCTTCCTGGAGATGCGTCAGAGTGACAGCAGGGCCAGAGCCGGAGGGCCTCATGGGTCTTAGTAAAGGCAGTGGCTTTCACTCTGAGTAAAACTGGAGCCACAGGGAGGGGTGTGGGGGCAGGGAGGGGTGTGGCCCGACATGGGTTTTACTTATTTTTATTTTCCACTTACGTGATGTGGGTTTAAATGGATCCCTTAGATGTGGCACAGAGGAGGGGGCAGCCCGTGAGGCCAGAGGAGAGGAGAGGCCAGGGGAGTGTGGGGTCCTGGGGGCAGGTAGAAAAGCATCCCAGGGACGGGGCGCGGCTGCGGCAGGGTCTGCTGAGAGGACACTCGGGGAGAAGGACAGCTGCCTCTGGATTTGGAAAGAGGAGTCGCAAGTGACAAAGGCGGAAGCAAGAGCAGGAGGGCCGAGGGTGCCCAGTCCCTAGTTTGGGCGACTGGTTTGGATGCTCATGCCCCCTTCCCCGGTCAAAGCAGGAGCAGAGGGAGGACGAGCTGGTCCTGCGGCGCCAGCCCCGTTTGGCGGGGGAGGGCGGCTCAGCATCGTTCTTCCTTCACCAGGCACTGATTCCCTGGTGCCAGGCCCTGGAACAGAGTCACCCGCCCTACGTGACCCCACCCCACAGCGCCTCTGGGCCCCTGCCTTCAAAAGCAGGGACTCTTTGTTGATGGCACCTCCCTGTCCCCCTGAGGGCCACTGCCTGTCGGCCCCCCTTTTCCATCCCTCAGCTCCCAGGTAAGGAGCCTTCGGGGCCTCTGCCTCCCGGGCACTGTCTGGAACTAGCCCGGATCCAGATCCCTGTTCTGCGGCCACTAGACAGTTTACCCAGCTTCGCCAACCTTGCCTGCTAAGCCCCATATCTCGGCTTCCAGCCCCTTCTGGCGGGCCGTGCGGCAGGACCGGTTGCCCCCGACCCGCCTCCCCCATCCTCTCTTCTCCCCCTGCAGATAGAAGGCTTTCGGGCCACCATGGCACAGCGCCTGGTACGCATGCTGCAGATCTGCGCTGGCCATGTGCCCGGTGTCTCAGCCCTGAACCTGCTGTCCCTGCTGAGGAGCTCTGAGACCCTGGCCCCAGAGGACCTGTAAGGACTGCTGGCCCCCGAGCCGCCGCTCCCCCCGCCTGGTGACTGGTAGACTTCCGCTGTCGCTGAAGACGGGGTCGGGGCTTGGCGGGCCCTGGCTCGGCGGTCAGATGCCCGCACGACCCAACTCGTCCCAACTCGTCCGCGCTCCAGCGGGGAGCCCAGCTGGCGGGCCTGCAGCTCCTTCCCTCCCGCAGAGCCCGTGTCTTCACCCACCTGCCCGGATACATCGCCACTTCAGGCTCCATTTGAACAAAGCGTCCACGGCTCAAAACGATTCAGAAAACCGCTGGCCTCCTCCATCACCTTGATTTTGCAGATGAGGACACGGACTCGGAACAGTGAGGAGGGCCGGGCAGAGGGGGCATTGCACTCTGTGACCCAATCCGACCCACATCCTGGCCTTGCCGTTCTTCAGGAACCTGGTGTTGCCGTTTGGAGCCTCAGTTTCCCCGGGTGCGGAGTGGAGGTCGTCCTGCTGACCTTGTTGCGTTGTGAGGACTGAGTGAAGTGACCGAGGGGACAAGGCTGTGGTTGTATTTCTCCCTCCACTTGTTGTGTGCTCTAGGTACTTCATAATCCGTTGTATCAAGGTGCCAGCCAATTGCTCAGGGAACAGTAACCATTGTTTGAAATCACACAGAACTGGGTTCAAAAGCTGGTGCAAAGCCAGGAATTAAACCGTTTGTGAACTCCTAAGTTGCGGAGAATTATGGGCTGGCTCCCCGCTCGGCAGTGAGAGGTTGTGCCTTGACCGTGGCTCCTCTTCTCCTTTGGGTCTAGTTAGAATTTGCCAAAGTGCCAGGGTCGGAATCCAGAAATGCTGTCAGCCAGGTCGGGGCTCCTGCCGCTCCTCGGTGGCCAGCTGGGCACACAGGAGTTTGGGGGCAAACGGGGGTTGGTGGACGAGACCTCAGGAGGAGAGCCAGGTCTGGGCTCCCTTGGACCATGCCGGCTCCCCCCACCCCTACCCTGCTTGTCTGTGCTGGGGCCTCCTCGTGCCCCAGCCTGGCACCCCGGGCAGGGCCGGCACTGCCACAGCCCCAGCCCCAGCCCGTGCTCTTTGCGAGATTGGGCCGACTTGAAACTCATGGCGGGCGTCGTGAGGACACGGCCTGCCCTTCTTTCCGTGGGCTTCTGCCAGAGCTTGACCCAGCACCGCACCCCTAGTGCTCAGTAGGTTTTGGCGGCCAAACACCGGGCTGATTTGAGGCCATCCTGTGGGCCCCCCTGAGAACGTCAGCCCCGCAGATTCGGGTCAGGGTCCCCAGCGTCCCCAACACAGCAGGGCACCACACGCTCCAGTCTCCTCGCGCCACTGCTCCTGTGACCCCCAGCAGATCCTGTGAGGTGGACCATGTTTCCCTACTTCAGCTGACAAAGCACTGCTGTCACCAGAGGTGTGTCCTTGTCACAGAGCCATTCGGGCAGCCGACCTCTGGCCCCACCTTCTTTTTCCTTCCAGTTGTTTTCTTACGTGCCTAATGGTTGAACAAAGGTTTGGGCACTTCTGGGCAGGCCCAGAAGTGGACGCACAGGCCTCATGCCCGAGAAAGCAGCTACCGGGAAGGGCAGGCTCTTAAGGAGCCACTCGCTTGGGGCGGGGTCCGCACCTCAGGACAGGACTGCGAGGTGCCAAGGTGGCCATTAGCACAGGGGCAGACCTGCTGGAGGAGGGGGCGGGGAGCAGGGCAGGAGCGCTGCCCGTGCCAGGACAGTCACGGCTTCAAGCACGGGGCTCACAACACGCCCGCGGCCCGCTCGAGGGGCTCCTCAGTGTCGGGGAAGGCAGGCCAGCTTCTGTGCTGAGATGGACGCATCCAGGGTTGAAGGAAGAGGCCAAGGTGAGAGATAAAAATGGTTGTTGATCTCAGAGGAGATGGGCAGGATCGGCAGAGGTCCAGGGAAAGCCAGCCTTCTTGGTACCCTGGGCCATAAAGGGTGGGGTTTTGCAGGGCAGCGTGGGGAGCAGGTGGAGGGCGGGCAGGTCTTTGGGAGCTAATGGAGCATGTATCCAAGCAGGGGAGGAAGGCAGTGTGGATACAGCCTGCCTGCCTCTGTTGAGCATGTCCCTTATCGGAGACAGGGGGAAGTCCTCCCATAACCCTTAACCTCCCCCCAGCCAGCATGGGGCACATTCCCTCTCTCTCTCTCTCTCTCTCTCTCTCTCTCTCTCTATCGAGTCTCTGTGCCGTGTTTTCTTTGCCACCTGGTGCCATTTAACAAGAGAAGTGGCATCACACTCCAGCCAAGGACTTGAGAGCTTTCCAAGTGCCGGGGGAACACGATGCTGTCAACTGCTGCCAGCTCTAGCGGGCTTGGCAGGGGCCCAGGAACCAGAGGCCGCCTCTGCCCCACAGCAGAGCTGAGCAATCAGTTCCCAACCAGCAGTTAGCAGCCCTCCCAGGCCTGCTGCCCCTGGCCAGGGAGTGTGGCTGCTCGGCCCTGTCTGGAGACCAGGGATACGGCCTGGGAGGCAGTCCTATCAAGGGAAGTGATGGAAAACCAGTCTTTACGCCCCAGTGGTGCCTGGAATTGGTGCTCGGTGCCGTGTGGGATCACCACGGTGGAGGGAGACGGGAGAGGCTGCCCTTGGCTTCTTATGATCTCGTGACCTTGGGCAGGTCACTTACCCTCCGAGAGCCTCAGGTTCCTTATCTGTAGAACGAGATCAGGCTAATTAACACCTCTCTCCCCAGCCGGTGTCAGGACTGAGCATGAGAAACCGTTATTTTAAACACAAGACTTTAAGCAAACGTCAGAACTCTCAGGCTGGCCTTGGTCTCAAGGTGGGCATGTTGGAGGCAGTTACAGGGGGTGGGCTAGCGGTCTGAATGGGTGGGCGGCCTGAGGCTCCTGGAGGAGAGGCCTTCGTGCCGGACCTCGAGCTGCCGCATCCATGCCGTGTATGCGGAGGGAAGAGGGGGGTTCGGGCCCCTGCTGTATAGATGAGGTATCTGAGGCTCTCAGAGGGGCGGGGCCTGTTCGGGGTCCCAGGTTCTTTGTTCCTGGGGCCCACCCCAGGGAGCTCACACCCTCCGTAGGAGATGGCCCAGGCCTGCATGTTCTGGCCCTGATCTGATGGTGTTTCCCACCCCTGCCGAGGAGGGGGCTCTGCAACGTGGCACCTGAGCCTCCTTCACCCCTCAGTGAGCAAACGCAGGGGCGGCCCGGGGCCGGGCTCAGACAGGGGACCCTGGTCACAGAGGGGAAGTGATGCAGTGGGAAAGGACCCAGCCTCCGAGTCTCACTGACTTGGGGTCTGTGGCCAACTTGCAGTGTGACCTGGGGCGGATCACTTCCTGTCTTCCCGTCCCCACGGCCTCTTGAGGTTCGTGTTAAGTCTCAGCTGCACCTGCCCCATGTGTGCCCTCCACAGGCTGGTTGTGCCCAGGGGTGTGGGCGGCAAGGGGAGCCCTGGGGAGTTCTTGAGATAAAGGCCTGCCACAGCCTGCCCCTCCCCCCAAGTACCTGGTGCTGGGCCAGGCCTACCTGACAGGCCCCCGGGCAGAAAGGTACCCTTTGCCCGAGGTACCTGCCGGCTTAACCTCCTTCCCGCAGCCTCCCCTGGGGCCATAAGGATGCAGGCAGAGAATCAGTGTGGAAAGACTTCTCGTAGATACCTGGAGACTCAAGGGGCAGAGGCGTGGAGGGTGGGGACAACGTGATGCGTTGTCAGGCCCTGCCCAAATCGGAGTCCCACCTGAGTTTGACCCTGTGGACTGAGGGCTGCTGAGGACCAGCTCTGGAAGGGAGAGAGGGTGGGTTGTCCCAGTGCCCCTGACCTGGACGGAAGGCAGCCTTCCTTAGAGGCCGCACTCTTACATCAGAAGAAATGCCAAAGGCATTTGGGGATCCCCGGGAGCTAACATTTGTCAGATGCCCGGTCTGGCGATATAATGGCCCTGCAGAGCCAGGCCCAGAGGGCTCCCAGAACCTGATCATCCTCTGCCGTGTTCAGCCACAGGCTCCTCAAGGGCTGGACCTGACCTCCTCCCACCTGCTGACCAGGAGAGGACCCCACAGATGTGTGTGCCGTGGTAGCAGTGGTGAGAGCTCAGGACCGGGGGGCTGCGTGGCTCGCCCCTGATCCTTCTGACCCTGCTTTCCTCTTTGTAAAGTGATATTCACGATGCCACCTCCCCTACGGGGTTGAGGCAAGCACTGTGGATTCATGCAGGGCACAGGGCCAGGCAGGTGACTAGTCGGTACTGGCCACTGCCGTTTTCCTGGTTGCTGTGCCGTTCCCTGGGCCTCGTCTGCTCCTCCCTAGACATCCTGGGGGAGTCACTCTCCCCTCCATCCCTGTGTTCCGAGGTCTCAACAAGCCTTCCCGGCCCCCCCCCCCCCCCCCCCCCCCCCCCCCCGCCAGGCCCTCCCTGCCACCCTTCCCTCCTGAAATTGTCTCCCCAGCACTTCCCAGCCCCTTACCTACTGTACGGTTTCACCATTTAGGTTTTGTCCTGGTTGTCTCCCCAGAACATAGAACAGTGCCTGGTACATAGTGAATCTCAGTAAATATTTGGTGAACGAATGGAGGTGTCTGCTCACGGAGTCGGCCTGTGCATCATTCATACGGGACCAAAAACCTGAAGGAGGTCCAGAGCCAGCGGCCCTTGTCCCCGCCTGGTGCCTTGAATGAGGCCTGAGGGAAGGCAGCCGCTGGGGAGGCTCCCTGCTCTCTCACCTCCCCACCCCTTCCTTACAGCAGCCTTCCGCCTTCCACCTGCTGGCCTGGAGCCCAGAGATGAGGACTCTACTCCCTGTGGCTGTGATGCTAATGAGCTGGGGTCTCCGTTCTGACCTCACTTTGAGGGCCGTGTCCTCTCTCTCCGGGCCATGCTGAGAACGGGCTGCCCTGGCCAGCAACCCCGAGGAGCGTTAGACTGCGCGTGTGTGCGTGCACGTGTGCATGTATGGAGGTGGGGATGAGGGCTGGAGGACAGGCAGCTTGGGCCTGTGAAAATCTGGGCAAGGATTTTGTAACTGCTTCATGGAAGGGCGTAGCTGCCCTTGCACAGCTTGGAGTCAGGGGGAGAAGGGCCGGGGACTCTCCAGCCCCACAAGGACTTCGTATCCATCCCCTGCCTCTCCCACCCCTTGTCCTAGTGTCCAGAGGCCCAAAGCCACATTCTTCCCGCTGTCCCCAGCGAGAGGGACTTTCTGGCAGTGTCCTGTTTGTCAGAGCTAAACACACGAGAAAGGCAAAGGGAGTCTCTACCCTGGGGACCCTGGCCGCTCCTGCTCCTGCGACGAAATCGAAGGGGAGAGCCCACAGGGCCCAGGAGGGCAGGGAAGCCAACAGAACAGCTCACACTTCGGACCCCTGTAGGAATCACAATACCTGCTCTTCCGCAGGAACTTACGTGAGAATTTAAAGGCGCAAGGCAGGATAGGAGGAAAAAGTCCACAGGCTCCCTCTGGGGACAGCAGGGGAAGGCCCCTTCTTACTCACAGATTTCTGTATGGTTTGAGGGTTTTTTCATGAGAACGTGTTCAGGTATTACAGAATTACAACAAAAGCAACTTTTACGTCAGGAGCGCACGCATCCTGGGTCTCCGCGTACTTTCACAATTAGATCTAGGGGGCCAGGCGTCTCTGTCGCCCAGGGACTGCCCCAGCTTGACACTGAGCTGGTCCAACTGGCAGTTTCCTCATTTCCCCCACCCTGTCCCCGAGGCACGAAGGGCACCGGCCACGCTTCGCAGCCGGGTGGGCACAGACCCTGTCCAGACTCCCCGTTCGCACTGGGTCATCCCTTTGCCCTCGAGAGTCCCTGTTCCCCATCTGGAAAACGGACATTATAATACTGCCTGTGTCAGAGCCATTGGGAGGGTGTTTCGGGGGGGAATTTGAGGGACAAAGATCGTTGGAGACTCCTTTTCCCCTGACCCCAAATTAACTATTTTTTTAAACAATTCATCAGGGAACGAAAACGTGAGAACACTAAGAGACATTCGATTAGGTAGGCTTTTTTCAGCTACAAAGTCCCTTATTTTCTATTCAGTACGTATGAGGTGATGGTATCAAATTATTTAAAGTAAAAACCATCAGGGCACCTGGCTGGCTCAGTCAGTGGAGCATGTGACGCTTGATCTCGGGGTTGTGAGTTCAAGCCCCACGTTGGGTGCAGAGATTATTAAATAAGTAAATAAAAATAAATAAAAATCTTGGGGCACCTGGGTGGCTCAGTCGGCTAAGTGCCCAGCTCGGCTCTTGATTTCGGCTCAGATCATGATCTCATGGTTTGTGAGATTGTGCCCCACATTGGGCTCTGCACTGGCAGCACAGGAGCCTGCTTGGGATTCTCTCTCTGTCTCTCTCTCTCTCTCTCTGCCCCCTCCCTGCTTGTGCTCTGTCTCTTTCTCTCTCAAAATAAGTAAACATGAAAAATATTTTAAATAAAAATCTTAAGTGAGTAAAAATGATCAAAAGAACAAAAATTTGCAAAAACCACATTGATTTGTGAAACTAACTCCTGTCTCGGACACGTCTCCATCAAGAAGTGACGTAGAAGACTTGAATAAAGAAATTCCTAATCTTGACTGAAGAGCTGTGTAAACCAAAATAAGGACTATGTTGAGGATTTAACCTAATATTTATCACATTGGTCTTTTGGGGAAATTTCTCTTAACTGCAGAGTCGAGATTCAAGGCCTCCCGCCCCCTCCCCTTTCAGGAGCCACGAGTGAAGAGGTTTGTCCAGGGCCAGGCACCTGCCCATGCCACTGACCTGGATCGCACACGCTTCTCGCTGTTACCCCTTTGTCCTGGGCACGTGCTCCGGGCACACAGGAGGCACCGAGCGAACGGTCGCTGTCCTCCTCCGGCTTGGGCCCCTGAAGACCACCTCCCGTGCTTTCTACTGGAGCCGGTGCAGCCACAGTGAGACAGACAGAGGCCCACGTGGCCCGTGCAGAAGTGGCTCACGGAAGTGGCCCCAGACCGGCCCCACTGGCCCACCCTCTCCTAGGGACGGGGTCCTCATGCCAGGTTCCCACAAGACTCCGTCCGCTCGGCCCGAAGGCGTGAGGTTTAAAGGAGGCGTCCGGGTCCAATGTAAGGGCTCTGCGGTCCTGAGAGCGAAAGGTAGTAACGGCACCACCGTGATGAGGGTGGGGATTCCGCCCCCACCTCCCTGCCCCCGCTCCCCTCCAGGCCCCTGGCTCCCCCACCCCCTCACCGCACACCCACACTCGCACCCACACCCACCATCCCAGACCCACTTCTCCTTTGCAGCTGCCCTGCCGCCTACACCTTCCTGCCATGGAGTTGCTCGCCCGTGGGCAGGGGACGGAGAGGCAGTGGGCCAGGGCTCCTGGGGGTCAGCCGACTCAGGGGTCCGTGAGTCCTCAGGGTCCCCTGAGCCAGAAACCTGGGGACCAGCCTTTCTCGCCTCACTCCACAGCATCACTCTTTGCTCCTAAACAACTTCTATAGTTTTACTGTTTTTAAAATTTGTTTAAAGTTTAATTTGTTTTGAGAAGAGAGAGAGCACAGGGGAGGGGCACAGAGAGAGGGAGAGAATCCCAAACAGGCTCCGTGGGGCTTAATCTCCTGAACCCGTGAGATCATGACCTGAGCCGAAATCAAGAGGTGGATGCTCGACCGACTGAGCCAACCAGACTCCCAGCTCCTAAACAGCTTCCAGATGGTTCCCCTCCCTGGTCCATGATGTCCTGTCTCCAACTCTGCAGCAGCCAGAGAGAAGGCCCCTTCTAAAGCAGAGTTCAGAGAAGCTCTCCTTTCACTCCAGCACCTCCTGGGGCTCCTCACTGCCCAGGAGCCTGAGGTCTGAGGCCTGGCCCATCTGCCTCCCCCCCCCCCCCCCCCCCCCCCCCCCCCCCCCCCCCCCCCCGCCGTCCTTCTGCAGCATCCCCTGAGGCAGCGGCCATGCTGTCCCCTCTCACCTCTCTCTGCCTTTGCCCTTGCCAGTCTCTGCCTGGAAGCTTTCCCTACACCCTTGCAGCTGCTAAAGATCTACTCCTGCCCCCAAGCCCTTGCCCTGTCCCCTGGACAGTAATTCCTGCCTCTGTGCCCCCCCACCCCAGACCTGAGTGCTTAGGGGTCTGGTATGGCCCACCACATCCGTGCTGAGGCTCTCTGCCAGCCCCTGCCCGCAGGGAAGGGGCAGCAGGTGTCAAGGAAGGCAGAGGGGGCCTGTGCGTATGTCTGACGCTCAATCTGAGAGAGACGTGGATGACAGACAGGTGGGGGAACCCAAACACTGGAGAATAGAGACAGACAGAGGGGACCTCCGTGAGACACAGTGGCAAGCAGGCCAGGATACACACAGCCCTGGGGAAAGGAGTTGGGATGGGCAGGCTGCCCATGGGGTCTTGGTCTGTCTGTTCATCTGTCCGTCTGAGTCTCTCTCCTGCCTAGGATCTGGAGACGGAGCTGTCTGTCCTCGAACCCTCGGCTACCCTCCCCCTATCCTGACTGTGCTCTCTACTCCAGCCAGAGGGTCCCCACTATCACGCAGATCTGACTATGACACTCTCTGCTTAAAGTCCTGCACGGTTGGTTCCCCAGTGCCCTCAGCCAAAGCTCCTTAGCCCTCAGTTGAGGGCCCAGCCTTCTAATCCAGAACTCCCTGGGCCCGTCAATTGTTATGCTCCCCTAGACCCCCCTCCATCTGGCGAACACCTCCTCCTCATCACCTCCTCTACAAAGCCTCCCTCTCTCTCCATGTCTGCTGCTGCGAGGCACTGTCTTTCCCTAACATTCGAAGAACTGAACCCGCTCTGCCCTGGAAGAGCAGGAAATTCCCCCAGAAGAGGAGGCAGGTGAGGTGGGGGGGACATGGGGGTTGGGGATTGTCTGGGGCTGTGGGCTGGCCTTGGGGAGGAGGACAGGGGAGGCCACCCAGAGGTCTGTGTCCTGACTACAGGGGCCCATCCTTTGCTGTCCAAGAGAAGGCCCCCATCTTGAGCCCAGCACGGTCCCAGCGCCCAGCAGAGGGTGGCCCGCCCAGCATCTGGGGGTGATGGTTGAGTGGTTGAATGGAGGAACCACAGGTAGAAGAGAAGGTGTGGGGTGCAGGGCCTCGGGGCCCTGGCGGAGAGTGGTCCCACCCCAGCAGGCCGGAGGGCGGGGCACAGTGGGTGGGCCCCTCCCGGTTTCCTCCTCTGGCTGCTGAAGCCAGACTCAGTCCCGGCTGTGTGCGAGGCAGCATGGGCAGCCAGAGGAGAGGTGCCAGGAGCCTGCGGGGCAGGGAGGGGTCAGCCCCCACCAAGTGTGTGGTGGACAAGTGCTTTGACCCTCTGGTCCGAAAGTGCGTGGACTGCAGGCTCCTCCGGACGCCAGAACCCGGACCGGGTAAGAGTCGACCCGCTCTGCCAGCTGGTCAGCGAGGCAGCCCTGGGGAGGGGGAGGAGGTTCCTGCTACCGCTGTCCCACCGCTGCCAGAGCCCCAGGGACAGCCCCCATCTGCCCCAGGATGGGTGGGGAGGGGGCGACTGGGTCGATGGGGGGCCGTAAGCAGGGACCTGGATGGGGACCAGCGGTCACCACGTGGCCCTCACCGTGGCCCCTCTTCTCTTCCCTGTCCACCTGCCCGGCCTCCTCCCCGGCCCAGCCTCGCCTCCTCCCGACACCCCCCCTCCCCGGCCGTCCCTGCCCCCTGCCCCCTGCTCTCTCTCCCCGTCCGCTCCGCCAGCAGCCGGGCCTGGCAGCCTGGCGCCGGGGACCGCGCTGCAGCCGCAGGAGTCGGTGGGCGCGGGGGCCGCCGCCGAGACCGAGGCCGAGGCCGCGCTGCCTCTGCCCGCGCTGCTCTTCGGCGCCCCCGCCCTGCTGGGGCTGGCGCTGGCCCTGGTTCTGGTGGGCCTGCTGAGCTGGAGGTGGCGGCGGCGGCGGCGGCGGCGCCTGCGCGCGGCGGCTCCCCCGGGGGACCCGGACCCGCACCCGCACGGTGAGCTCTGCGGGAGTGGGGGCAGTGGGTGGGAGACTGGACCCCGGGGCAGTGTGGAAAGGGGGAGGTGGGGGGGGGGGTGCGCAGACACCAGGGCGGCCTGAGGACCTCAGGCTGGAGTCGGAGGGACACAGCTGTAGCCTCCCAGAGCCCTCTGAGCAAGAGACACAGGGCTCCCACACTTCTCCCTTCCCCCTGCGCTCCCCGCTTTGCCAGCGCCCTCTGCGCTTCCTGTCCTGAGGGCCCATCACGTGCCGCCCCTCCCCATCCCTGCAGGGGGTGGTTCATGACTTATCTCTCCATTGGAGCTTCCAGAACAGGAGGGGGGTGGGGGAAGGCTATGATGCAACCCTGACCTTGGTCTTCACCCCCCCCCACCAGAGCCCCTGGACGATGTCATCATCCATCCCCCGAAACCCCTCGATGCCACAGCTCCCGTCTGGCCTCCACCCAGAGAAGACCCAGCCAACACCCCACCTGCCCACAGCGTCCCTGTGCCAGCCACAGAGCTGGGCTCCACTGAGCTGGTGACCACCAAGACTGCTGGCCCTGAGCAACAGTAGCGACGGAGGGGGCAGGAAGCGGCCCCTGTCCTCCCCGTGAGCTGTCAGCCAGGGGCCTGGAGGTTGGATTCGGCTCTTGACTGCAGTGCCCACCTGCCCCTTTTCTGGGAACCTGGCTGCTCCCCAGCTAACCCTGCAGAACCACAGACTACAGACCGCAGAGTTCAGACTGCAGCGCGTTGTATGGCATGTTAGCGTGTGGCTTAAAACCAGACCATCTCTGGCCGCCGTCGAAGGTGGTGGCTGAGCTCCTGTGCCTTTGTGTGGCTGGAGCACTCTGTGTAGGAGGTTTTTCTTTAAGTGCAGGGAAGCCACCGTAAGCCAGAATGAATCTAGGAAAATGATTGAGTAGGAGGATGCTTAATTTGTAGCTTGGTGTTGTATTTCTTTAATACTTGCTCTCGGAGCTGTCCTGCTTTAAAGCTGATGCAAATGGCAGCGATGAGTAACCAACTGAGGGGTTTGCTTCAGGGTTTAATAGAAGGTGATTTTGACAAAGAGCCTGGATTGCGCTGATTCTCGGGTATCTGTACCCCAGGGTCAACCCTGCGCTTGGCCCAGTCTTCTAGGACCTAAGATGCCTTTTTCACCCTCGTAGCAGCTTCCAGAGCCCCCAGCTTGCACCGTGAGAGGAGGCATACAGCCCCTCTGGGGCTAGACTGCAAACTCATGATGAAGGCACACTGCCGAAAATCTCCCCAGAGACCCCACCTGGGGTCCCAGCTGCCTTCAAGGCACACTCAGCTGTACCTAGGGAAAGGCCCAGAACCTGCAAGAGGTTCCTTTGTTCAGAAGCCAGAGCGGGGCTGTGGCCTTGAACCAGCAGGACTGGATGTCCCTTGAGCTCCCCTCTGTCTGTGGTCCACCCTCCTCAAGCTAGGCCCCAAGTGCTGGGGTCACTTGGCCATTCTATGCCAGCCCCTGGGATCACCCATTGTCCTAGGGGAATTGCTCCTCCGACAGCAGTGCCCCCTGCTCTGCGGCCCGAGGCTGAGACCATCTCCTCTAGTTGTGGACTATGCTACACTTGGTCAGGTGCTGCCTCTCCTACCGGCCCTCCAACACAGGGTTAGAAACTCCTGACCGGATTGGACAGTCCTTGGGACTTGTCACCGCTTAGCACCCTCACAAGAAGCGTGGACTAGGAGTCAGAAGACGGAGTTTTGGGTACCATCTTGTCTCACTGGAGAGCCTTGGCCATGCTCTGTTGCACGCATCAGATGCTTTCCGCCCGCCTCTCCCTGACCTTCCTGGCAGAACTTCACCCTTCCTGCCCACCCCCCTGCTCAGCCCAGAAGATGGTCTGGAGCCTCCAGGACCCTGACCTTCACACTGAAGTCTTCCTAGCCACTCCCTCCCTGAATGCATCCCAAGTGCCCCTACCCGCAGGCTGCCAGGTGGCTGGGGTAAGGTCAGGTGGCTGGCGGGAGGCAGGAGGGTGGGAAGCAGGCCCAGACATCCAGTCCCCTTCAACTCGGGATCGGGGAGTCTGAGCTGTTCCTCCTGGCCGCTCCTACCTCCCACTCACCTTTTCCACCGCAGTGGGGGACCGGGCCCTGGAGGTAAAACAAGTGGGTAAAACCCCTCTGGGGTCCAGACATGCAAACCTCTGGCACCGCTGTGTCCCAGTCAAACCCCAGCTTCCCCTCTGGTCTCGGTTTCCGTTTCTGAAAAATGGGGGGTTGGATGCAAAGTGCTCCTCTGGGCTTATGGCCCTTAGAGGAGAAGAACTGGAAAGAACCTTAAAGAATCCTTACCCCCACCTCCCTCCATTTTATAGATGAAGAAATTGAGGCCCAGAAGAAGCAAGTTTCCTGGGAGAAGAACCGGGAGCAGAGGCGGGGGGAGAGGCGGGCAAAGAGGGGGCCAGTCTCCCCCAGGCCCCAGTCAGGGACCCCACCGCCCAGGGGTTTCTAGTCCCTGGCTCTCTGTCCGGGCAGTGCTTTCGAAGGAGTCTTCATGAAGTTACTGCATTTGACCTTAATGACAGCACCTGGAGGAGGGCATGGGTATTTGCTTTAAAAAAGGTTTTTGTGTTTTGTTTTTTTCTTTAGAAAAAAAAGGGACGCCTGGGTGGCTCAGTCGGTTAAGTATCTGACTCTTGGTTTCTGCTCAGGTCACAATCTCACAGTTCATGGGTTCAAGCCCCACATCGGGCTCCATGCTGTCGGCATGCTTGGGAATTCTCACTCTCCCTCTCTCTCTGGCCCTCCCCCAGTCACTCTCTCTGTCTCTCTCTCAAAATAAATAAATAAACCTAAAAACAAAATCGAGACCTGATTTGTTGACATTTTGGAAAGTTCGACAGTGATCCAGGGTGGAGTCTATGGAGAAATGACCCATAACCGGTGGGTTCTCTATGTAATTGTAATTACATAAATTCATATCTTGGCTGCCATATTTGGTGAGTTTTCTCTTGTCTTCAAATACTTTGCAAACAAGATTTTCAATATTTGTAAAGTTTTCCGCTTGAGCCTTTGGTTGATTTTGGTTTTTGCTATTGTAGCTGAGGCAGGAGTACCTCCTCGACATAAATCTTTGCCCGAGTTTTTTTATGGCCCCTGTTGGTTGAATTGATCTGCCGAAAATCTGATTTCCTGAAAATCTAAATTCTGTTCATGTCCATGAACAGGGATAGATGTCCCATTTTGCAGATAGGAAAAACGAGGCCCGGGAGATGAAGGGATCTGGCCCAAGCTGCCACTAAGCAGTGGTGAAGCTGGGCCATACCCAGGCTCCTGTCCCTGTCCAGAAGGTCATTGGCCCAGGTGCCCTCCTTGGGAGTGCTGACTCCAGGGATTGATTCCAGGCTTTACGTCTTGTTTTCATCACTACTCAAAGATTTCTTTCCCAACTGGTCTCTTTTGGCTGTAAGAGGCACTCAAGATAGACTTTGGAAAAACTGCTTGTTGGGTGGGAACCAGCTGCCCCTCCCCCAAGCCTGTGTTTCTGGCCAGTTTTTCCTGAAGGAGGGTCTGGTTTCCCCGGGGTCCCCAGGGCCCAGGCAGGTGGAGGCGGGGTTGGCTCAAGTCTCAGTTCCTCCTGGGGCTTCCTGCAGGCACTTTTCACTTCCTGCCCAGCAGCCCTGGGCTCTGGGCTCCTGGTGGGGGTGGGGAGGCCCAGCTGGGGAGGCCAGGGAGGAAGGACTTGACCCCTTACCTCCCGCTGTCTCAGCAAGGATGGACCCACACAGCCCTTGCCTTTAGAAGCTGGTGGCATCTCTCTGAGCCCGTCTCGTCTTCTAAATGGAGCCCAAGGGCCAACCAGCTGTCCGAGATTAAAGAGGTCATGTGGCAAGTCGGGTCCTCATCCTGGAGTGCCTCCATCCCATCCTTCCCTGGGACGCAGACACTTCCTGTCCGGAGCCCCCAACCCTCAGAAATTCTCCTGGAAAGCTAGTTTCCCAGAGCTGGTCTGAAGCTCTAGTCTCGGCAGTTACCACTCCCACCGCTCATCCATTCACTGTCCCACTGATCACACCAGATCCAAACACACCCGCTCTGTGCCAGGGCCATTCTGGGCAATACCTGGAGGGTGGCCTCAGGCCCCACCAATAGGTCCTAGTGCAGTGGGAGAGATGGAGTGAGACACAGGGACAGGGCTGGTGATCCCTGCCAGACCCCGGCAATGCCCCAAGCAGGGAGGTCATTAATCCAGCGTCTAGAGCATGCTTTGGACCGTGGGAGGTATGCCCTGAGTCTTGCCCAATTTTCCTACTGGAATGGAGCAGAGGATGGGCATTCCTGGCCCAAGGGACTGCGGAAAAAGGTACAGAGGAGAGGGCACAGAAGGGGTCAGGAAGCAGGCCACAGGGGCGGGGGGAGCTAGAGGGTTGGGCACCATGGCCTCTGAGTGCCAGGTGAGGCTCAGAATCTTCTTGGCACATAAGGGCACCCATCCTCAGGGAACCCAGGTGCTTCTCCAGCCACACCATGTAGCGTCTCACCATTCCCTGTCCCGTTCCCTCTGAGAGCCTCCGGGACCCTTCTGGCACTCCTCTGGCACAGGGTGGGAACTCACTCCCATTTGCTCTTTTGTGGGTGGCTCAGGCCACATTCTTCCTCACTCAGGGCTGAAATCTGACCTCTCTCCAAGCTGTGCCCTCTCCCCAGCTGCCTGGTCCTGACCTGGTGCTGAGGGTGAGGGCCGGGTAGGAACGACTGCCCAGGGTCACGCGAAGAAAAAGGGTCAGGGAGGAGCCAGGAAGACACATGACCACGTTCCCAGCCCAAGCTCTTTCCCGGGGCTCTGTAGGGGGGAAGCTGCCCTGGGGACGCTACAGGGGTCCCGGGGCCCAGAGGGCCTCTGAACATCTCCTCCTTCCCTTGAGCTGCAGAGAGTCTGGGATCTAGGAAGATGACAGCGACTCCAGGGCAGGTGAAAGTCTCTCTCCGCGACTCCTGCGGTCAGCCCAGCAGGTGGCACCTCGACCGCCGCCGGCCGCCTGGCTCGGGGAGCTGGGCTGCGGGACGGAGAGGGTGGGACCAGGACGAGAGGCGAGGCTGAGGGCGGGGTCGGGGAGAGAGGAGGGGCTGAGGGACCCCGAGTCTCAAGGGAGTAGGGAAGGGGCGGGGCCAGGGCAAGTAGCAGGAGGGGGCTCCAGGCCGAGGGGCGGGGAGAAAGGGCGGGACCCGGTGAACGGCGGGACCAAGACCCACAGCGCCCTCTCCAAACCCCGCACCTCCACGCTCACGCGGGGCTCCCGTCCTCACGTGTGTCCCGTGCCAGGAGAGGCCTTGGATGCAGGGCATGGCCCCGACTTTGGGGCGAAATGTCTATGTGGAGGAGCGCAAAACGCCTCCCCCACCTCGGGCCAGGAGCCGACTTTAGAATCGTGTCCAGGACCGGGCAGGCCGGCGCGGGACAGGGCGGGCCTGTTCCAGGTGGGTGGACGCGCTGTGTGGCCTCCGCTGAGCCCTGTCCTTAGTGGCCAGCTCCAGATTTGCATGTTCACTGGGGCCTTTGGAGGGCCTGCAGGGGGAGAGTAATGCGGGTAATTCAGGTAATTCCAGCTGTGATGTCCTGAGCGTGACTCCGAGGCAGGGGAGGGGAGGGTCAGGGAGAAGGTGCGGCGGGACGGGAGGCTACACCCCAGCTCCCCGCACCACTTCCATCGTCCCCCCACTCATGCCGCTCCCTGGCGACCTCAGCCTGGGTGCCCCCTCCCTCCCACAGGCAGCTGGAGCCTGAGTCACGAGCTGCCTCTCGGGGAGACAAAGGAGCCAGGAGCCCTCCCCTCCCGACCCCCTCCCGGCACTGGCATAGGCATCTGTGTTAGCAGCAAGTCCTTAGTTCTCTAGAATCTGCTTTTTAGGTAACCCTCCTTCATGGAAGAAATGAAAACAAAACGGGCTTGGGAATGTGGCCTTTGAGGCTCGTGGATGGCACCCAGAGTGGCAACCGTCATCTCAGCATGGCTGCAGTGGGAGCCCCCACCTGACTGCATGGACCCGGTGTTTCTCCATCTGGGGCCCATTTGGCTTCTCCCTGCAGCCCTGCTGAAGAGGTGCTAGCAGCCCATCTTGCAGATGAGAAAACTGAGGCCTAGAAAGGTTGAATGGCCATATTAGAGCAGGAATTCCAACCCACATTAGTCTGGCTCCAAAATGAAGGATAAATAGGCGCTGTCTGTGTGAGGGGCTGAAAAGGCATTCCAGGAAGAGAGAACAGCGTGTGGCAGGCCCGGGGGATCCTGTAAGAGTCAGGGCACATTGAGTGTGTTATCAGGGTGTAGGAGCACTTCCCTGGGCTCTGGGCTGGGGTCCTCCAGCTGCTCTCTCTTTTTATACTAAACTGGCCAGACAGTAGGTTTGGGCCTCACAGCGAAGGTTCCAAGCCAGACCCTGGCCCTTCCTGGCCGTGTGCCAGTCACAGCAAATCATTTCCCCTCTCTGGGTCTTGGGTTTGTCTCTAGGAGATTCCAATTCCCTGGCCCACCACTGGGCAGACTGGTCACTGACCCACAGTCTAAAATGGAGACACCGAGGCCCATCCCAGGCTTTCCCTAATGTCCGTGACCTTGAGCCTTGCACAGCCAGAGCCAGGCACCAGGCAAGGGCTCAGCAGCGTAGGAAGAACATGTGTGCACAGGGGCATCCACACTAACACACGTGTGTACTCACATGCCCATGGTGGAAGGAAGGCCCTCGTAATCATGCTCGCACCAGACATGCACTCTGGCTCACATTCGCGAGCACATTTAGACACCCTCACACTCAAGCTGCCAGAACTCAGAGCTGGGGGCGGGGCGGGTGCCCTTCAGGCACAGAGACACACGGGCTCCTCTGCCCGCCCCGTGGGGCTCGCTGCAGATGCCAGGGGTTATTTTAAGCCTGGATCAATGGGCGATTTTTGGTGACACAGGCTTGGTGGGGGTGGGGGGGCAGGCAGAGGAAACAAGAGGCAGGTGCTCTGGTGCTGTGCTGTGGAGAGAGACCCCAGCGTCCAGGGAGGACCACCTGGGCAAAGGGGTCAGTCTTCAGCTGAGCTGCTCCATTTCTAGATCCCCTCGCCCAGCAAATGTCCGGGCACCTGAGAGGCAGTGCCATGCAAATGAATGGCCAGATCCCAGGACTCAACCAGTCAGCTGTGGTCTGTCTCTGCATTTGTCTTCTTCTCCTGTTCCCCCTCCCCACCCCCAAGGCTGTATGTTCGTATGAAGAGGGCATTAAGTGCCTGACATGGGTCCAGTAGATGTAGGCACCTATGGTTGCTGGCTGACCACTGAACCAGACTTGGATAGAGAAGAAGCCATGGGTGTGGGGAGGAGCTGGAGGTTGGACATCAGTCCTGGGGTGGGGGTGGGGGAAATGGAATCCAGCATCCAGCTCCTTCACTGGACAAATGGAGATGGCAATCAACGTGGGGTGGACCTGATGGCAATCAACGTGGGGCAGAAGGTCAGTGGAGCACCTGATGTTGCAGGACAGTGGGGTAAGAGAGGGGCCCAGGGAGGGGACATGACTCAGGGAAGAGCATTAGGAGTTCAGGGCCAAGTGGGGTCATCCTACCTGGGAAGAGGCCACAGTGCCAGGCGGGCAGAGACAAACCTCTTTAAACATAGTGCCCAGAAACAGGGCGGGGAAGGGGGAAGAAGCAGTCACCCCAAAGCCCCAGTGACCCAGAGGGCAGCTTAGCAGTGTGGGGCGGGCGCTGATACAAATCTGACAGTTTGTGCATTTCTAGGACTACCACTCCCAGAGGAAGCAGGAAAGTCTGCACCAGAAAATATAGCGACAAGTTCTAAGCTGAATAACAAACGGAAAGTTTGACAGCAGAAAGTAAACTAAAGACCAGTCACTGAAAAACAGTATGTAAAATGGGGCATATTTTAGTGCCCCTGGTGATGGGATTAAGGCAATTGCATTTCATTCCTTTGCTTATCTATTTTGTCTCTAAAATTGTAACATAGTCTTCTAAGGGGGTAGGGTCTTCCCACCTGGATCAGAAGAGTGTGCGTTGTGGCTGAAGGGGGAGGGAGCAGGCTGTCTTTGGACAGGGCGCAAGGAATGCCCCTGAGCGGGACGGCATCTCAGCCACTAATACCTGAAATTAGCCTGTCAGCCCCTCATCTCGGCAACACAAGGACTTGATCCTCCTTTAAATGTAAATCCTTCTCCCTCTTCCTCCCTCCACTTCCTCCACTTTTATAAGCTGATCCCAGTCGCTGAGTTAAGACATGATGCAAAGAGGAGCAGGAGAACCCTAGGAGCCCGAATTCTTCATTTTACAAAAACTAAAGACTGAAGTCACTTCATTCATTCATTCAGCAGATACGGTGCTGTGTGGGAACACCGGGGCGAACTGGACGCCCAGCCCTCGGTCTCCTGACGATCTCGTCTGGACAGTGGGAGGCACCATATTGACCCTTGCCTCCTGGAAGAGGCGCATTATGAATCCGCACCCCCCGTTCCGGAAAAGTTTTGATGTTAAGATGAGAAACTGAGGCAGAGAGAAGCAAGGCGCCACCGCTCGGTCACATTTTCCAGTTAAACCCAACTTGAAAACGCCAAGGGACGGCTCCGTGATAGATCCAAGCTCCGGACCTCCTTCCACCCCCTTCCCCCGCGCTGGCCAGAGGACTAGAGCATCCTTCGGGGGACGGGGCGGAGGGCCGGCCGATGGCCCCGCCCCCTGACCCGGTCCCGCCCCCTCTTCTGGGTCCAAGTCCAGCCCAATCTTCTCTCCCTCACACCTGGGGTAGCGAAGCGCTCCTGGGAGAACGCGGACCAGGCCATGCCCATCGCCATAGAAGCGGGGACACCCCAGGACCCCAACCCAGGGTCCAAGAGCTTCTGGGGCCAGGGGGCGCGCCCCGGGGTTAAGGCGGTGCTCCAGGCGGCACGTAGGCGGCACTTGTCCTTCTGCAGCGGCTCCGCTCGGGATTTTCTTCCCATTTGAGAGGCGGGAACATCGAGGCGCAGAGAGGGCCAAGGGCCTGCCACATGTCACCCTTCAGTCTCGGTCAGAACTGACAGCAAGAATGGGAAGGAGGAAGAGGGGCGGGGGCGGCAACGACCCCCTCCGGGGGCCTCTCTGTCCCCTAAGTCCCCGCACCTGTGAAACAGAGGCGCGTTCACGCGGGCCTGTGTCCGAAGTAACAGTCCCGAGAGTCATAAACTGAAGGGTCTGGGGCTCCTAGTTCCGAGGAATGTTTCGGGGACGCCTTCGGGGAGGGTCCCCGGCGGGGCGCCCGGGCTGTGCGGGGCCCCGCCGCGCCCCCTCCCTCCCCTCTCGGCGGCCGCGCTCCTCCCCCGGCTCTGCCTCCCGCCCTCCTGCCTCTTCCTCCTGCTCCCTCCTCCCCGCCCGCGAGCCCGCGCAGGCAGGAGCCTGGCCAGGCGCAGCCAGAGCGGCGCGGGGAGCGGGCGGCGGGCAGCGGAGTCGGGCGGCCCGCCGCCCCCGCAGGGCCCGGGCCACTAACACCGCCAGGCGGGGGGGGAGAGGCCGGGACCGCGCGCGGGCGAGGAGGACTCACTGCCCGGCCCGGGGCGGCCCGGGGCGAGGACTGCCGGCTCGGGTCAGTGAGTGGGCGGAGGACGCCCACTGGAGGTCTGACCCGGCGAGCCCCGGCCCAGCCCGCCCGGCTCCGGGGTCCGGAGGAGGAAGGCGACGGCCGGGAGGCGCCCGGCAGAGCCAGCGCCCGGGCGGCAGGGCCAGCGCGGTCCCTGAGGGCATGGAGGAGCTGGCCCGGAGGCCCGGCGGGAGGGAGCCGCGGCGCGCCGCCATGGTCATGCTGCCAGCCGAAGGCGCGGGCCGATGGAGCGGGCCGGGGCGCGGGGCTGCGCGGCGGCGGCCGGCCGGGACTCGGCTCGCGCTCTGGCTGGCGCTGCTGCTGGCGCGGCCGCGTCAGGGCCGCGCGTGGAGTTCCCTTTTCGAGGCGTGAGCCATGCCTGGCACGCAGGGCCGCGACGCCCGGCCGGGGCGACTGACCCGGCCGGGCCGGGCTACTACGACGTGATGGGCCAGTGGGACCCGCCCTTCAACTGCAGCTCGGGCGCCTACAGCTTCTGCTGCGGCACGTGCGGCTACGCTTCTGCTGCCACGACGGACCCCGGCGCTGGACCGAGCCGCTGCTCCAACTACGACACGCCGGCCTGGGTGCAGACGGTCGGCCACCCGCGCAAGCCCGCGAGACGCCGCCGCGCCCCGGGACCCGGGCCGCGAAGCGCACACACGGCCGTCTACGCGGTGTGCGGCGTCGCCGCGCTGCTCGTGCTGGCCGTCGGGGCGCGCCTGGGTCAGACTGGAGGGCGCACAGCCCGCGCGTGGCGCACCGTCACCAGGTGGCGCGCCAGCCGGGGCCCGGGTCCCCGCCCGCCCCTCCTGGAGGAAGGTCCTTCCCGAGCAGTGGGCGCCCCAGCCTCATCCTTCCCGCCCGTCTGTAATTCTGGTCCTCTCAGCGGCACCTCCTGGTTTTACCATACTCAGTCGCCAGGCAGGTCTATTCTCCCCCCATCCGCCGCCCCCCGCCCCCCATCTTCGTGGAGGGAGACAGCTGATACCGTCTCCCTTGACCTTCCCGAGGAGCTGGTGTGAGCAGCCCTCCCGCTGCTCCCTCCTCCTCTGATAGCCCCGGACAGAGGGCACAAACCACGCAAGACCAAGAAAGGGGGTCTGGGGCCTGAGTCCCACTAGTACCGGGCGGGGGCCATAGCATACAGGCCCTAGGTCCCCAGAGTAGAAAGAAGGATGGGCATTTTCTGTAGCTCTCTTGGGTCTCCCTCCTCTTGCTTCTTTCTCCACTTTTTCGCCTCTCCTTCCACTTCCCTCCCATCCCCACCCTCATCCCCACCCCCATAGCTGTGACTCAGGCCTGACCTTCTTTCCTGGGGAGAAGGCCTCTCCAATCTGCGCTACTCAGTACCACTCCACCAACCCACCCCCACCCACCCCCACCCCCCCACCCCAGGCAAGCGTCAGGGTCTCTCCCTGTGTAGAAAGAGGTCTGAAACGTGGGGGACACAGATTTGTTGCCGCTGAGGCCAGGACGGGTGCTGGCTGAGTCTGAGCTTTGTGTGAAGCGGGGTCTATAGGACCTGGGTTCCCTTTCTCAGCTAGAATGGGGACTCTGGGATTCTGTGTCCTCACCCTGAAACTCTCACCGACACCCACACACTCACACACTCACATCCCCCCAGCCACCCCCATGTCTTGGGGCCTGTGCCCGCCTCACCTACCCAGATCTGGGCTCCTTTTGGATACGCGACAGGCTGGTATTTAGAGGTGACAATAGAAGCCCCCCAGGCCTGGGTGCTTCCCACCTCATAGACTTGAGGGGCAGGGGATGAGGGCTTCCTAGGCACTCCACAGCACCTCTGTCTCCCAGACCACCTAGCCCACCCCCTACTAGACAGCTGTAGGGCAGAGCTGGGGGGTGCTGGCCTCAGCTACTGTGCTGCCTCTGGCGATGTGGAGGCTCTCATCCTGGCTTCTGGATGCTACGGGGGCAGGCCCTGAGTTTGGAGTCCCTCATGCAGGGCCAGGAGGAGAAGACAGGGCATGTCCTTGATTACAACGGGGCAGCAGGAGCTGAGGGCCATGGTGGTGTAGAGCGGTGGCTTGGGCAGTCTAGCTGATGTGTCCACCTAGAACCCACTTCATCCACAGGGGACAGTGAAGCAGGTCTGGTGATGCTTTAGGAAGAGCTGGCCCACTCCCAATGTGCTGTGTGGCCTAGGCCAGTCCCTTCCTCTGTCTGGGCTTCAGCTCCCATATGCCCTCTTTTTTCTCCTCTGAGGAGACCTGAAGCCCAACTTGAGCTCATGTGTGGGCATGTGCTGAACCCCTGCCCTCTCCCCCAGTCTCACCCTTAATTCTGCCGTGTTGAGGTCGACGGTCAGCACCCCTCCAGCTCAGAGGGCTTAGAAGGGAATTGGAGTCTGTCCCTAGAGAAAGCTTGTGCAGAGGCCCAGCGGCATGAAAATTACTCAGGTGTTTGGGAGAGCTGGCAGGTGCGGGCTTGCACAGAGATGAGGCCACACGGGTGGGCAGCTGAGGAGTGGGCAGGACTAGGAGGCTTTCAGCCAAACAGTACCTACCCTAGGTGTCGCACCTCTCGTGTGCTTCTTCATGAATCAGCCATCTGAGTCCTCAGCACCTCGGTCTCCCCCACCCCGCCCCGCCGAGGTGGGAAGGTCAGAGTGAGCCAGAAGAAAATCATGGATTCTGGGCACCAAAGGCAGCTGGCCTGAAGGCTGTGTCTGGCTGTCTGCAGGGAAGGCTCAGTCAGACGCTGTCACAGCTGGGTGGGGCTGGGTGTCCTGGTACCGGGCAGGTGGCTGCCCAAGGTCACATAGTCTTTGGTGCTAGGCTTCCACCCTGGGCTCTCCTGGCTCCTCCCTCCCCTTACGTCTGTTCTCCCCTCCGAGCCTGTGTGACAGCTTTGTCCCGGGACTCGGGACTCGGCAGAAGCCCCTGCTGCAGGAAGGGAATTAGGTTAAGCAGATCAGGAAGGCTTCCTGGAAGAGGAGGGATTCTGGTGGGGTTTGAAGCATAAGTAGGAGTTTTGCAGAACGAGATGGAGGAAAAGATTGTTGGCCCAGGGAGCAGTGCAAGCAAAGTCCAGGAGGCTGATGCACTTGAAGAGCTTTCATTGGGAGAGGAGGCTCCACTCGGAGGGTCTTGGAGAATGGACTCTGGGAGCGGGGGAGTCTTTGGAAAACAAGGTAGCCCTGGTGACATGTGATCCCATTAGAGTTTCCTCACCTGCTCTGGAAGTGGCCATGTGTTGGGGCCACAGGTCATGCCTGACAGTGGAAACTAGATGTGTGAGAACAATCACAGGGAAGAAGGGGGGCCAGATGGGTTGAAAGGGTGACAGTGGTGGGAGGGCTGGCCTTGGGTAAGCCAAGGCCTGGCCAGTGGGGAAGCAGGAGGTTGGGGGGACTGCCTCTCATCACTCTTTCCCCACAGGACACTGACAGAACTTCTGAAGCAGCCGGACCCCCAGGAGCCACTGCCTCCACCTCTGGGCCCACCTCTGGGTAGCTGTGTCCAGGTGCAGATGGGGGATGGCCTCCCCAGGGGCTCCCCCAAGAACACAGGTGTGCAAGCTGGTGGGCCAGCATATGTGGATCCACAGCACGGGCCTGGGAGCAGAGGAAGGGGTGTGTTGAGGGGTAAGAGGCTCTTAGCTCTTTCACAATTGGAACGAGCTGCCTGCCTCTGCAGGCGTGTGAGTCGGGGCTGGGCAAGCCGGTCAGCTCCCCTTGGTGGAGGGAGACCCTCTGAGGTGTCCAGCAGCTTCCGGTCAAGGGGACTCTGTGAGGAAGCTTCCAGATTCAGGGATCTGGAATCAGGCTGTGGTTCTAGGCCTTGGCTCAGTGCCCCGGGGTCAGCTTCGCACCAGCCTATGGACGCCTGTGGGCCTTTTCCTCCAGGCTGGAGCCTCCCTCTTGGGCTCTTGCCGGTGAGGCAGCAATCCCGCTCCCCTCCCCTGTATGGGTTCTAATTTTCAGACGTTAACTCCATCTCCTGAGAAGCAGGTCCTGGGACCCGATGCCTGGCCCAAGCTGAACATGCTGAGGAGTCATCCATCAGGCTAGCACCCACTCAGGGCTGGCTGCTATTTTTTTTTAAATTTTTAAATGTTTATTTATTTTTGAGAGAGAC